GGTGATTGCCTGTGTTTATTCTGTGCTCTACAATGTCTGTGCAGCCGAGGTCATGATCTCCTTTTGAAAAGACGTCTGCATAATTCGCTAAAAGTTCCCTAACCTGAAGAGAGAGAGCCTGTGATGATGACAAATGGACTATAGGGGTCAGTTAAATGTTCTGGAAGAGGATGTCCTTTCTTTATGGTTGTATTTCTTGCCTTAACATTGATTAGCTCGACCTCCTGGCACACACCTAACAATGCCCCTTCCTTAAATGTCTGCTTACATTTAGAGAAATTAGCCACTGTTATGGGTACTATTTGATGACCTGCCACAAGTGACCTTCCAATCTTCACATCCGCTGCCCTAGATGGGTCTTCCACTGCTTTTACTAGCATCAGGCTTCCTTGTGGATGTTCTTTTATTCTAACCCAAATATCTTCTCTGACATAGGGGGTATTGTAGTTGACTTAAGTGCTGTGACATGCAAATCAACAAAAGCAGCAACACTTACCGGAATTTGGCCTTTGTTGTTCCCAAACGTCATTTTATCAAAATTAACTACACACTTCCTTTTTGTTTTTAAAAAATGCATATTTTGTGGAATATTCGCAGTATCTCAGTTTATGTAGCAATACGCGGGAGTCGTTGTGCAATTGATTTGGAGAATTGATTCAATTTTCATGGAAAATGTTGTTTTTGTATAGTGCAATAGAACAACCTATGATTTTCACGCCCAGTTTTCATTGCTTTATATGGTATTACACCAGAACTTTAATGAGTTGCTTTTATTCTCGTGACAATCGTTCACTAAGCTTCAGATTGTCAAACGTAGTGTATATATCTTTATATAACACGTAAGATGCAATGTTTGTTTTCTAATTTTGGTTGTGTATGTGTATTCAAGATAGTCTCACATTTAAATCTTTTGTGTGTGGACAATATTTGATGTAGCGCCAAAACTCGTTGTTCGTTATCGTTTTGTGTGCCATGTTTATGATGTGTTGTTGGCCAGTTTTCAAGAGTGAAACTGGGTGTATTTTTCTCATACGGAGTGACAGTGTAACAGCTATGAAACAGTTTAAATTACGATAACACACTTTTTACCATTTATTAAATAACCTAATGTTTATTTTAAAACCATAACAAACAAAGTTTGTTAAGCTTATCATTAAGTATGGTAGTACTTAATACTAGGAGTCGTTATTAAACAAAATGGCTTCCATAAAACTCGCCTGTTTAAAACCACCGTTAAAATGTCTGAATATTAACAATGACTAGTTTACAGTATTCGCTGAGCAAAATTAAAGCTTAGTGTACTTATAAAGCCGCTTAAATCGCTATATACTTGTTTATGGAGTGAATCAAAACTTCACTATTTCAACGAATTTTCATCTAAGAAGTAAGTAGGTAAGTGACTTTTCAAGACAAGCGTACAGAAAAAATGACGAACTTAATCGCTCAAATTCTTTCACAGAACTTTTTCGTCTGGGATCCCAATCATTCCTTTAAATATTTTATTCCTTCTCTGGCAAATCACTGTAATTATGTTAGTCTGAGCCAAAGTAGTATAATTTTTAAAATTTTAAGTAACTTAGTTATGAAGTTTTGACTTTTTTGTTTCAATATTTTTTGTAGCATTAAAACCTTCTACATTACTATAGCAAATTAGGCTACGTATATATCGATCCCTACTTGTCTTTTAAAATTTAAAATGTATTATACTTGTATAGTTACTAATAAAGTAAAAACTCACCTAAGTTGTTTTGAACCTACTGAAAGAAAAATGGTGCTTCTTCACGTTTTTCTCCCCCCCCCCACTTGACAGGTTAGGGTCAAGGAAACATAGCAGAGATGAAGGGAACACTATACCTTGTGATCCATCTTTGTCTGTAACATTTAAAGGATCTAAGTGTAATGACAAACGGTACATATCAAACTCGCATTAAGATTCATAGAAACTTAGACAATGTCATATTTTTTGCTGTTGCTGATCGGGATGAAAAGTAAACGGTCTAAAATATTATAACATTAATATGAAACAGATAAAAATTAAAGAATTTGTATACTGCCCTGAGACAACTAAGTTTTGAACCACCGTATGTATCTATTGTAATGACAGTGTAAGAACTAGTCAATTTATGTGTTTTGTAAATTAATAACCACGTTACTCACAAACCTTACCATTACTTGGCTCACTATCGAGTTATGACTTCGAATATAGTTAGACTGCTTTTTTGCTTAATTATTACGAACATGGGCATCCACAGAAAGTTTTTTTTTGGGGGGGGGCAAAGGAGTGTGAAATTGGGAATTAAATAAAACATTAATATACATATGCTGAATGAATCAAGAAAGAATTATGTTTTTCATTTTCCATGTGGGGCCAGTTTCCTCGGTGTTCAGTGCTAGATATAAATGAATATATTACATAGTATAGTACTGATACAAATATGCAGTAGTGAAATATATTAATAACCTTAAATATGTGGATATTTCTTTATTAGAGGCCTCGATATTTCAATGAAATATTTTTTAAAACGACCACATGATTGACTACGAGTTTGGAATTTCAGTGTTAATTTTGTTACCTCGTTATTAAGAATGTGTGAAAGTGATATGTACTACGAGTTTGGAGTTTCTATGTTAATTTCGTTACCTCATTATTGAGATTGTGTGAAAGTGATATTTACTACGAGTTTGGAGTTTCTATGTTAATTTCTTTACATCGTTATTAAGAATGTGTAAAAGTGATATTTACTAAGAGTTTGGAAAATTAACATAGAAACTGAGGTAACGTTATTAAGATTGTGTGAAAGTGATATTT